AGTTTTATAACTAGTCTTTGATATCTATCTTTGCCTCTTCACCTCTCTTTTCCTCTTCTATGGGAGTATTAGTTGTCTTGCACCCAAGCATGTCAGTTTCTTGAAGTAAGTCCAGTGTATATTTCCTTTGTGATACATAAATATCATCCTTCGTCCGAGCAACCAAGACTGCACCTGCAATAGAGGAAACTACATTAGCAAATGCAGAAATCCAAGGCAAAGTCATGAATAAACCAAGCTCCAGAAAATGAGTTTTTCCTAGGTAATATGTTTCTAATCCTGAACCTATTAATAACATTGACATTCCTATTGCATTAAGAAAAGGGGTGAGATCTTGCACTCAACACCCCATTGGGAATTATGTGTCCTATAAAAAATTGTCACAGGGATATAAGTCATTTGTGGCAGCTCTTGACAATGTACATATCCCAAAAAATGAGGCACTCCAAAAACCTGAATAGGCAACAACTGTAATAGAAGAAGTCCAAGCTTTTGTTAAAAATGACATATGGGAAATCACCATCCTACCAAAAGGGAAGAAATCGATTGGATGCAAGTGGATATTCTCCATCAAATACAATACAAATGGTAGTATAAACCAATACAAAGCCCGACTGGTGGCAAAAGGGATTACCCAATCATATGGAGGGGACTACGAAGAGACGTTTGCACCGATAGCCAAACTCAATTCAATCCGAGTTATACTCTCTTTATCTGCAAATTTAGATTGATCATTTTATCAACTAGACATCAAGAATGTCTTCCTAAACGGTGAACTAGAAGAAGAAGAAGAAGAAGTCTATATGCAAATTCCTACGAGACTTGAATCATCAAAAACCTCAAACATGGTGTGTAGGCTTCTGAATCAATGATCCATGACTTTGATTTTCCTGTGCTAGTATTTAGAGCATGCAAGAAATTACCTTTTGTGCTAGTGCAATTGTACCAATTGTTTGTTGGAGAATTTTTTGTAGTGTTTCCATTTGCTCCTTGCTGAATGGAGATGGATTAGAATTTACCTCTGTTATGTTGCCTCTACTGTCCAGGTTCTTTTGTCTGTTTTTCCTCTGAAGGCTTGCCATGAATAATCCAATAAGCGTCCTTAATGTGTCCCAATTTCTTGTAGTGATCGCACCAGAGCCGATTTTTCTTTTTCCCTTGCTGCCATTGTTGTGTCTTCAATAGGTGAGGCTGCACTTGACTTTTCAAGCATTACTTTCCTCCTACTTTCCTCCCTTCTCACTTCTGAAAATACTTCCTTGATTATTTTAAGAGGTTTTGTCTCGGACTTCATCAAGTTTTGTGTTCAGCCCCAATAGGAACTTGTAGATCCTATCTTTCTCCACTAATTCTTTATAATTCTTCTTATCCTCAACACAACTCCATTGAATGTCTTCATTTATGTCTAGTTGTTGTCATTGTCGGTTGAGTGTATTAAAATACTCAGTGACTAAGAAATCACCTTATCGCAATTCATGGAGTATGTTATTGATCTCAAATACCGCAGACGTATTGTCCATATTTGAGTAGGTTTCCTTCACTGCATTCCACATCTCCTTGGCATTGTCATAGTACATGACATGACTAAACTGTTTTCTATTTACCATTTATTGGGTTAGGGTCACCCTCTATTGGACACTTGGAGTCTACTAGGAAGGTTTTAATGGAACGCACCCATTGAGGATGATTTTAGCCATTCAATTTCTGACCAATGATAGGAAGAGCAGGTCTTTCGACCAAACTGGTGGCCTGACTTGTTCTCTTTCATGGTTGGTTGCGCTAGGTTAGGGATGGTCCAGATCGTGCTTTGATACCATGCAAAAAATACGTTATGTATTTCTTATTTTAAAAAAGTATACAAATGAGGTATAAATAGAATACAAAATAATAAACCTATACACTAATCTATCCCTGAAAATCAAGACAATATTCTCCCTATAAATGTTTTACATAACTGTGCATAAATAACAAAATAAAATTGATTATATTATTATTAAATCCTATCATAATTGAATTATTCTAATTAATAGTGCTGATCTCCAACACTTTGATTATTGTCTCACCATCTTTACTCTTAATTGGTTGAAAATGACCATTAACAACAACATCACAAACACCTTTATCAACATATTTAAGAAAAATCTTCATTCTTATTTTCAAAAATGGGTAATTTTCGCGAGAAAATAAATGTGATCTATTTATAGATGCTCCTTCAAAAAAAGTTTGAGCCATCATTTTTTTGATCAAAATCAATTAATTTTCGATAACCCAAATCTGAGGTCAATTGTTATAAAAACTAGAATGACTAAATACACCCAAGAGGAAGGATGAATTGAGTTTGTAAAATCTTTTTAAAATCTAATCAATTAGTTGAATATTTTTCCGATAATCAAATTGAAAAAGAATTTGAAATGTGTTAAAGGTTTCAAGAACACCAAGATAAAGAAGAGAAAGATGAGAACACAAAGTTCGATTTCATGGAATCTACATATTCAAAGAACCTTAGCTTGAATTTCCACTAAAAGCTTTTCAACATTCAGATTACAAAATAACAAGCAGGTCTTAAATTACAAAGCACCTTAGTCAAGATCTAACAAGACTCACAATACTTAAAAATGCTAACAATACAATTTTCAAGCCTCCTTAACTATATTCACCTCACAATCATGAAGATACAACAAAGATTTACAAAATTAAAAGATACTAACAAATTTACTTGAACTTTGATTTTGATTTTCTCAATATGTTTTACAAATTCAAAATGTTTTCTTAATGTCCACTAAAACTTTCTTTTACAATGCTTTGAACGTTTCTCAAATTATATATAATTGATGGAAGTTTTCTTCTTTTAAAGGGTTGAAACCTATTATAACTTATTCAGATAATCGATTATCAAAAAATCTAATCGATTATTTACGTACAATAACAAAAGGAAAGTAAGCAATATAATTGATAGATATCAGTATTATCAATTATTAATGTGTGGTGTCAAAGCACAAGATGTAGTCACATAATCATTAAGTGACAATATAATAATTTTTTAACACATAATTTGAGTCATATAATTGATTAAAGGCTAACATAATTAATTATTTCATATTTATTCAATTTTAATATTTTAACATAATTGATTATTTCATATTTATTCAATTTTTAATATTTTAACATAATTATTAGTTGTCCTATCTTTTTACTCTCTTTTTTTCTTTAACATAGATTAAATCATTCCACCCTAACAATAACTATTAACACAAGTTTTCCTAGATATCTATTAGGATATTGACAAAAATAATTCTTTAATCATTCTTCATATTTCATTATTATCAAAAAAAAAATTATATATATATATAAACATTAAATCTAATATTTCCCATCCACTGTATAATTTTTTTCCAATCGTTCATTATCTCACTCCTTCCCTGACAAACCTAACTGTTGTACTGAAAAAAAAATATAGTTAAATAAATAGTAATAAATAATGTTGTTTGTTCAAAAGAATGAAAAAGAGATGTTAGAGGAAGCTTTTCCATCACATTACGTGCATTAAGGATTTCGCTTTTTTTGAAAACTCCCATGCATGAAAGTTTCCTTGTCATGCTGCTACTGTTCTGTTAATTGCCACTGACTTTTCCCTGTGCGCCATTGGTTGCTTTCGGCCTTGCATCGTGCAGTTATGTGTAATTAAAAACATGTGCTAATACAATAAACATTATTTCATTTTCAACTGTGGTATAACTCAATAATTGGCTCTACATGTACCCACTAATTATGTCCATGTATGGTGCCAATTAATTAATGATTTATTATTAAGGATTTGTATGTTGACATTCAACATGCATTGGAAAGAGGGTACCATCCAAGACACTTCATCGTTAAAAATAACTAATTGAATTGAATTAGACGTGTAAAAGATCATGATTTACCTAGCTACTGAAACTCTTCATGTGGCTTGTGTTAGTTAACAAGTTATATATATCAGAAAGTGAAATGTTGATTCATGTGGCTTATGTTAGTTAACAAGTTATATATCAGAAAGTGAAATATTGATAGTGGATATCATGATGTATGTTGCACTTTGCATACTTTCCCCTTAACACCTCTTTGATCATGAATAGTAGGTATTATCAAGATGATGTATGAGTGCTATCAACTTTTCACAAAAGAAATGCATACGTTAAGCCAAAGCAACAAACATGTGGAGAAAGAATAGTGGAGCAACCACACATCAGTAACAAATAAAGTTTGAGAGGAAATGATGAATAGTCTCATAATTAGCTTGATGAATCTCTAAGATTAAAACAATTATTTAAATTTACCTCGTAAGAACATCAACTAATGTTTGATTTCCCTCAGACACCCACAGTCCTCTCCAACCAAGAAAAAAAAATGAAAACTTATTTAGATTTAATTATTCAACAATCTGATTAAAAATTTGAGAAACGATTGTACTTTTAATAACAAATCCACTTTTAGTATTTTAATAATTGTACTAAACATGCCTGTTAGCATTAAATTCTTAACTATCACTCAATTATACATCTCAAAAAGTAGTGAATGCCTCTTTAAAAAGTATAACCTAACATTAACATGACATCCAATTTGCTTTTATCCTCAAACTCGTAAAGGGGCAATAAAACATAGAAATATCATTCAGTGGTAAAAAAGAGACTTGTGGCAAAGGTCTGAGATTTGTTCTCTTTGTTCTCGTATCAACGACCAGATACCAAGGGACCAAATAAACCTAATATGTTCAAAGCTGTACAGTTTCAGTTGCAGTTAATAAATACCACGTTAGTAGAAAGTCACACTATGCAGGATCTTTTCTGCATCACCCTTCGTGGTTCAGTCACACTCAGAATCAATGAAATTGTAAGATGTTAATTCGGTGATCAAATAACAATATCTTTTTCTGCATTAAATATGACTTACTGTCATTTCCTTGTCCTCATGACAGGAAATCGACATAAATTACACCTATCTGCTCAACTACACAACTAAACCTAATCCTCATCAAAACCTGCATCATTCATATCCACATCGCCATCGTCATTGTCCTCAGCTTGTGCTTGATCATCAAATGCTACAGCGTTGTTAGGCTGCTCATCATTATCTACTGTATCAGTTGGTCCAATCACCTGGGATGGTTCAGCCAACTTTGTTTGCATGGAGGTCAGACTTTCATCACTGAAGAACGCTGAATATGGTTGAGAAACCTGCAGATGAAAATCGTTTAGTTGGTCTTCAGCTAGTTGTACAATTCTTTTGGTTCCATAATCTAACTAGGAATGTATTGTGCCCAGATTCGGGTGGACCAACAAATGAATATTAATGAAAACATTATGCATAAAAGGAACATGTACTAATAGAGCATGCTAATTCTGTTCAATTAGGATCAATTAAAATTCTTATTTAATGGATCGAATTCACTGTATTGCGAATAGTAGACATAAATGACTTCTCAGCGATTTTACTTGGAATAAACAGTTCCTTTTCTCGGCACTTTCCACTAGCTTTTTCCATTGTTCACTCCTCCTTAATGTTGAGGCAGATCCAACCACCTATATCAACAACATAAAAATGGATCGATATTCAGGCGTATGGACCAAATGATTCATGAAATAATCACATTAACCCCCTTAAGATACAGTACCAGCACTGCTGACTTTGCTCTAGTGATCCCAACATTCATTCGTCTTTTGTCTTCCACAAACCCTATACCTTTATCTTTGCTTGCCCTGACACAAGAGAATATTGCAATGTCTTTTTCCCGTCCCTGAAAGAGATAGTAAATTATGTGCCAAACCTTAAGAGTAACAACCAATTGAAATGAAAAAAATATTATAAAATACACACTTCAATTAACCATGATTTATTTCTCCAATTTCTGAAGTTTTCACAATTTATAATTTAATCAAGCAAAACTACACAATGAAGCCTCGTCTATGGTGCGGTGCAACAGTTCATAGTGGATGTATATTCATTACCAGCTGTTTAAATCACTCACATTCTTAGTCTTGAAAATGCCAGGTTTATTGTATTCCAGATGGTAAACAATTAAAACCTTATTCAATTATTTGCTTAGGTTACTATCAAATAATCAATAGTAAAAGCAAAAATGAACATGAAGGATATATCATATAATAAACATTAAGCTAGTTTACCTGGCAACCATCAACAGTACATATATCCACTACTTTCTCAGCTGACATTCCAAAGGTCTCTTCAAAACGCTTTTGAAAGAGTTTGACTTGTTGACTATAGGGTGATATAATTGCAACTTGGTTACCAGACTTCAGTGCCGGATAAAGTGAAATCAGTTTTTGATACAAGAATAGAACAAAGTCAACTTCCTCAACATTTATCCATGAACCACTCCCAGACGGCCGAGCCTCTTTTCCCTCATGTATATCAAAGAAGCAAAAGGGACCAAAGCAGCGATAATCATGCCATGCACGTATTGTCCTTGATTTGACCTCGTCCCCATCTAACAATGAATCTCCGTAAAACTCCCTAGAGGGAAAGCTTCTTATCTGTTTGATCATGATAAAATCCACTTAGAAAAATTCACAGGAAATTTCAAAAAGATGAAAGTAATAGAAGGAACATAGTGATGAGCTTTCTCCAGACAAAAATAATAAAAGAAAAAAAATTCTGGTACTCAAGTACCAAATACTAATGAGATTGATATAATCCGTATCGTTTTACCTTGATGCAACACAATAAAATTGCTTTAACAGTTTATATTCTCTGTTATGTGATGCAATCAAATCCTACGGGAAAAACTTTAGGACTGTATAATTGTGATACACAACAGAATTTGAATAGGAACAGAATAATATTTATATGAAATGTACCGAAGGAAAATTCTATTATAATGTGGAAATGAGGAGCCTTTTAAGAGAAATCAAACTATGAATGGATCAGAGCTCCCTTGCAGAATGGTAAATAGGGAAAACAAACCCAAAACCCAGCCCTATCCCGGGGGAAGAACTACTCTCAGGCTGCCCAAAATATCTTCCCTTAAAAGAAAGATCATATTCCTTTTCAGTATGTCCCCCTCCAAGTGCCCACTTCTATCCCTTCTCCCTCCAGCACGATTGTTGGATCTCTTTCCACTCTCTTTCTACCAGCGGTCCATTCTGTAATGCCCTACTTTTCTCCTTTAGCTGGTGCCACTTGATTCTTTTTACTTCCATACATAAGCTGGCCTAATTTCTGAGGCATTTTTGTCCCTTCTTCTATTCCCCTGACCGCTCTTTTCCATTATATATACCTTCATTACGAGCCTATTTGTAAGATGGAATATCACATGAAGATCAAATGCTAGGAAAAATACTTTAGGAACTGTAAAAGTGTAGCCTGGAATATTTCTCTATATATTCCATTTGTAACAGTCTTCAATTTAAAACATTTTCTATATCTGTTTATATTCTTCAATTTAAAATATTGCCTTGATCATTTTCTTGATTAGGCATCATTAGAAGGCATTCCTTCAAACCATAATTCTACTGTACTAAATTTTTTATAATTGGCCCCTGTAATCACCCAGCAACAGAGACAATTCTCTTTAGTCTCAACCGTTTGATATTCATTTGGACACACAAGGAACACATTAAATAAATTAATTTTGCAACATTTTGATTAACATATTTATTAGAAATGGGTTATGGCCTGACTCTACTCCAAAACGTAATTCAAAGAGGAAAAATAGCCCACGCCTTCTGAGCAGTATTTCAGCCATATTCCTAAGCTAATACAGAACACGTTAACAATATGCACAAACCTCAGGATGCATTCGATATTGAGTCTTCAACATTTTAACTGGATAACCAGCCTCCTTCAATCTTTCAAATAAGCTTGTGCCATATCTGAAATTCATGAAACAAAAAAGCCAAAAATTCAGGTGTTAGCAAAACGAATGATTTAATGTATTAAAATGATAACCATCACCAAAATAATTGTTTACCCGTGATTCTTAGCAATATCTGAAATTACAGTTGCTGGAAGTTGAGCTGGATCACCAACCTTTAAAGAAAATTGCAATAAAATGTAGCCTTAATAAGGACAACAGTCACCAAAATTATTTAAAAAGTCTTAGTTCACCAAGCTTTTAAAAAGGTTCAACAATTGTTGTACAATAATATTTTCACTAGTAAATTAATAGATATGAATTACAATCCCATTGTTGTATCATTTCATATCTTTTGGATTAAGTAACAATGAATAACAACTTTGCTTTTTTACAGGTGCTGCTGTCAAAAGGTATTTTTTCCAAGAAATTTGTATTTTATACATGATATAGAATTATTGCTCACATGTAAATCAAGACATAGCTACATATTAAATACTGTAAAAGGTAAAATAACTTAGGTTTCTGTAATGCAAGGATAAGCAATAAAAAGTACCAGAAAAACTTTTTTGCATTGATTGGCTAGCGGAACAAGAGTTGCAGGCTCCACCTGTCATATAAAGAGTTGAAATAAACTAAACAACATTGGTTTTAAATTAGATATTATGGACAATCTTTAATTTGGCCATTACAAATATTAAGTAATGAATACAGCAGGAAACTACATACTAATAAACCATTTCAACTTTCCAAAATTGCCTATTTTCATTGTAATTTAGGAACAAGAATTAGAACTATTGGTCAAATATAGGAAATCAATATTTTTCCTAAAGAATCACTTTGCGAAGTTCATCCTTGTGTGAATAGGAAGCAATCTTGTTGTTAGACTTCCATTATTGGAACTTCTTGAATAGTTTCTAGAAAGAATTTATCCAACTTTTTTCTTTGAATCAGGCAGATTGAGCCTCAGTAATGTAGAAGATTATGTTGTGCCATGTTTGTTTGAGAGAGGCCAATCTATGGACAAAATCATAGAGGCATTGAATATCATTTGCAAAAATATCTAAGTCTTTTTCCAAAAGGAGTTACAAGTCTTGAATAAATTTGAGAGTGCCCAAAATATTAGGTTTCACATTACACAAAGCTAAAAATCAATTTTCTTCAACTTTGTTTGATGGTACTTTACTCCCATCTTCCAAGTTATTAAAAATAAAAAGATGTCTAGCTCAATCTTACAAAACCAACTTGTAAGGTGAGATTTGCACCTCAATTATATATTAGAAGTTGGTTCTATTTCTAGTCAATGTACTATTCTCAACACAAGTAATCATGGAAGCCTTGGCCAAGGACCCAAAGTTCAATTGAAGCAAGCCATTTAGTTTCCGGAAGACATTGAAAGAGAAAATCAACAATAACTAGAAAAACAAAAAATACAACAACCTACAAATGGCATAGCAAATAGGAAACCAAGGGAGTCAAAACAGAAATGCAAGCACTTGAATACCAACACCGACAACAAAAACAGAAAATACAGCAAATAGAGAGATAGAGAGAGAGAGCCTAAAAGAGAGGAAGACCGCTTGAGAGGGAGAGTGGGAGAAGCTGCACCTCAACCAAAGCTGGAATTGAGAACCAAGGGTCAAAATAGAGACAAGGAGGTCTGGCGAAGTTTGTGAAGGAGGCGTGACATTGCTCTGCTTAGAGGTAGGTAGTGCATGACTGTCACAAGCCTAGCTGTAGCAAACAGAAATGCTACCTTTGGTGAAAGGTTATACCTAGGAGTTAGAAATGCTATAGTGTAGATGCAAAAGGTTATACCTAGGTTTAGATGCTAGCAACTAAAAACAGTTTTAGAGGAGACAAGTTAACCTATCTCAAGAAGTAACAAACTATATAACGGGATTAATCACTATATAACATGGGCAACATTCGGATACATTGGATGAGGATGACATTGATAAGATATGAGTGGGCAAGGAAAGAATTGTTGTGGTTCGGTAGGTTGTTGATTTTTAAGAATTCAAAAGCTGAGGATTAAAGATAGGATTGCTTAGATAAGACAGCGGTAAGACCTTATATCTTGAATTTGGTTTTCCTTGTGTAGTGAAGAAAAGTGTTTCTGTGAAAAAGGTGACATTAACGAAGAATCAACTTGTAGGAGAGTGGTAGGAACTTGGGTATTAGGGGGGTCTAAGTCCCACATCAGGCAGCAGTATGAGATGCTCAGTGGAGTATTTTAGTTGTTTGGTTTAACCCCCTTGACAGCTAGCTTTCAAGAGTGGGCTCCTCAAGTGCATAGGTGCTTATCAATTGGCATAAAAATTGGTTTTCAATGTCTAAGAAAGGTTACCTACGAAAATTCTGATTGGTAGGGAGTTAACAACTAGAGAATGTCACTGAGTTGAATGTTAGTGAAGTGTCAACGAGTTGAAAGTCACTTTGATTCTTTAGTCAAATTGTTTAAATCTTTGGGCTAAAACACATTGAAGCAAAATATTTTATTTATTGTCATACTTCTCCAAAAAATGTCTACTTTATTGTGTATGTGACACAATCAGTAGAATAATGTTGATAAAATTTCTCAGCTAAAGAAACATTTATGTGGTCACTTATACCAAAGATCTAGAAACATTTATGGGCACGTGGAAACATTTATGATGCCTCAAATACTTTATGGCATTGAAGTGACTCGATCAAAGGAAGACATTGTTATTTTACAAAGAAAATATGATTTAGATATTATAGAGGAAACAAACAAGATTGATTGTAGATCGGTGGATAGATTATGAATCCAAATTAGAAATTGATGGTAGAAAGTGAACTTCTCTCATACCCATAAAAATGTAGAAGACTTATTGGAAACTCATCTATCTCACTGTTACCAAATCTGACTTGTCTTTTTCTAGTGGAATGGTTAGTCAGTTTATGCAATCATCTTGATCACTGGATTCCATTCTCAGTTACCTCAAGAAGACTCTGAGACAAGGATTGCTATGTGAAGATAAGGGACATACGCATATGTCTAGGTATTGTGATGTTGATTGGTTAACATATCCTATAAAGAAGCACACCACTATTGGGTATGGTGTTTTCATTGGAGGAAATATTACTTCTTAGAAAAATAAGAAATAGGATGTGGTTGATTGGTTCTAGTACTAAAGCTGAGTATAAGACGATAGCATCTCTCACTTGTGAACTTATATGGATTTAAAAATTCCTCCAAATGCTGAAGTTCTATGAAATTTAGCAAATAAGGTGCTATCATAATCAAACATCGATTCACATTGTTTTCAATTTTGCATTTCATGACTATCATTTTGTTCGAGAGAAATTATTGAACAAGGAAATGTGCATAACATTTGTCAATTTCAATGATCAGGTTGCAATTATTTTAACTAAATTTGACCTCAAATTCTATTTATATATGTCAAGCTTTGTACATATAATCTCTATGCTCCAACATGAGGGAGAGTGTTAGAATAGTTTATCTTATGGCTTAACTTGTTGGGATAGGTTAACATGTCTTCTCTAAAAGTTGTTTTTACTTATTAGCATCTGGCACCTAGGTACAACCTTTTTCCTCTACACTCTTTGAAATTTTGATGTATTTTCTCCTATAAATAAATGGATCAACTAAGAGATAATCAATCTCTTAAGTTCTTTTCTCATATTTTCAATTGTAAGTATATACTGATTAATCAAGTGCTCTAGTGTCCACCTATTCTAGTCTCATCTGAATCTTCCACTGGCTTACCACTGTGGTTCGTAATTGTATTCATTCTATCTTTAGTCGGAACTCTTGTATAGTTATTAGATAACAAACCAAGTGTTACACCAATATAAGAGCAATTGTCTGATAAGTGATATCAAAATACATGAGTTCCAAACAACCAGGAAGAATATTATGATACTAAACTATAGGAGTAGAACTAATTCAATTTCTTTTTGTTCGTCAAATTTAATAATAAAGTTTGATGTATACACTTCTCATATTCTAGTGCTCCAAATATGCATGTTTTATCTTGCAGGAGGATCTGAGTTATACATGATGAGACAAGTAGAAACCCGGAAACAAGGAAATTCTAGGGAACACTATCCCATCCATTAAAAGACTTCACTAAAGGACAAGAGGATCTCTCAAGTGACAAAAGATATTTAAGGGAGTTTATATTTCAGACTGTAGACTTGGTCCTCTATTACTTATTTACTCCAAGAGGCCACATATTTTGTATTCATCTCGCATAAAGGTTATTCATCCGTTCCAAATTTCTACTACAAAGAAAGTGACCAATAACAAGTTGGAAGTAAGCTGTTAACGTTTGATAAATGGCAGTCCTCTCCGAGCCCCGAAATAACTAATTTATTTGAATATCCATGATGTTTCCTGTCATGGACATTGTCCATCTAAAAGTATTTCTATCTTGCACCTCAGCTTAGGCTTTCCGAATAATTGGTTCATGCGATATTATACGTCTCTATGATCATATGGTCTAGAATTCAATCCTTTCCTTCCTTACTCATTTCTGATAAAAAGTTAAATTCTAGCACAATACAGCTGGGTCTGAGCATTATTAACAGTTGAAGCCTAAAGGACTCTGGTGTGAAGGTGGGGGAAAGTTAGATACCTAGATTTATTACAAAAAATCATTTATATGCCTTGAATTAATAGCGTAAGTTTCAGGGATAGTTGGTTCATGAAAGTTATTCCATCTGCATACAAAAAATTAAAATTATACTGGAACAGTTTCAGGACCCTCAGCAACTTCTTTTGATCAAACTTTGTCATATTAGTTTATACTACAAGCAATCTAAAAATTGATTCAGCAACTAAACTGAAGATTTCACACTTACAGCTTGTGCTGCTTCATCTATAATCACAACATCAAATCCACGATTTAGCTTACTGAAGACATGGGATCCACTAAAGCTGAGAGTGGAGAAGACCTGCCAAGCACACAGAAAATGCTATGAAAATCACTTTGCTTTTGCTTATGCTTTTTCATTGGAAATAAAGTGTGGGAATATACAATAGTGGCCTCGTCTAAAATTGCAGCACGGATACTGTCATCATTACTTCCTGCAGGACCACTACTCTGTTTATTGGTGGACGATTTGTTGGCAGTAGAACGTTTTTGTTTCATCTGCATGTAATATTTTAAAACATTAAAATTCAACCCAATTACATTGAGTATATTAACACTACAAATTGCAATATAAACAGCAATCCTGTAAATAATGCTTAGACCACCAATTCATTGGTCAAAATACTGTCGAAATTGGTAGGCTTGAACAAAGTTCAAGAAAAATCTATTATGCTCAATTTATTTTCTTTAACAACATTATTCCAACAAGGTTTATAAAATGATAACCATATCTTCAGTGGTTGGCACACATCATAAATAAAGCAACGAATGATGAATATGCTTGGCGCTTGGAATCTACATACAAATATGTGTTGGGTTAATAACCCAGTATGACTGGATGAACAGTTATATGATATATGAAGCCTGAACACAAATTCAAATCATTTCACTGATCAGAGACCCTAGCCAGCAAAAGATGTAGATAAAGTTTCAGATCCAGTGCAGAGTGATAAGCTTAAACATCTGAATAAGTAAACAACCCTGCAGTTGCCCATGCTTTTCAGCTTCAATTCAAACAAACAAATGCAGAATCATATGCCCCCAGAATGTTTAGTGAGGGAAAGACAGTATGATTGAAGCCTGTGTATTTGATTATAGAAAATGGTAAAAATTCCCCAAATATAGAAATCAGATTACTAAATATATAGAAACCAGAACTCTCTGAGAATAGTCTAGTTCTTTGAGGGCCTAGATTGTCCTAACTCACCTCTATAGTTATTACCTCCCTCTCCCTTGTACTTAGTCTAAATGATTTCCCTCTCCACTCTCAAATGCCATGTCAGCAATCTGTTAGGCTCAACTCTATGTAGCACAATTATTCTCCACGTTCCCCATTTGGCCTTTGTTCCCATATATTCCACAGCATCCCATCGTATCGACATCTAGGAAACAGGGGGTCTGTCACTGTTACTCTGGACGTCCGTACAGACATTCAACAATAAGGCTGAAATAGGATATCTAGTCTGGGGAAGAATGGTGAGAAGCTAAAGTAATCAAAATGAAATAAATATAACCTCCTTCACAGATGCCGGCAACACATTCACACCAGAACAATTAACTCCAAAGAATCAATGTTCTTATTAAGAACAAATTTTGGAGCCTTTTCATCTAGCTTTAGATCGCACATTATATTAAGACTGTTCATTCAATATTAACATCTTAAATTGTTAGCATCCCCTTAGGCCTGAATATTAACATCTTAAAGTGGTGCTAAGATTTTATTGAAAAAGAAAAAAGTATTACATTTTTATACTTTTGATCTATAAATGTTTTCTTTCTCAATAAAATCTTTACACTTTTAGATGCATAAATCAGTCCCAAGCGTAGATGTCTAAAACTGTTAATTTAATAGTAAAGCTGCCTTCAGGCCTGCTCAGGGATAATCGTGGCATTATAACCAAACTTTACAGAAGTAGTGTTACGGAAGATTAAATAACAATGGTGGCAGCATGGCTACTTAAAACACATTTGGTCTAATCTTCCACGTACAAGTTCATCCAGGGAAACAGCCTTGATAGAATGATGTGCTTTGAGACCAATCCGCACAATTTTCGGGCAATAAACACGGTCATTTTCATCATGTACACCTGAGAACATCAATGAAAAACAATTAAAAATAAGCATGAAATCATGATAAGATAGGACAGTATAGAAATAAGAAATTCTTAAAACAAAAGGCAAAAAGTAAACAAGGTATGTACAAAAAAATCAGATTGCTAGCTCAGGCAGCCTGCATATAATATGAAATAGTTAATGTTAAACTACAAGAAAAACAAAAGCATTGAGATGAAACTGAGTGTTTCTATGATAGCATGGGTGATTTATTTACATTGAGAAAACGAAATCATTAGAAATAAATAGAGATTTGGTCTCCTCAAATAATAAAGAGACAATACTAGAATAAAGTTATTTATTATAAAAATACATATATGATCTTTACTTCTGCAATTGTAACGGTTAATCACAAGGCCTGGGACACGCAACCAGGATGGCAATGGCAACACACTAGTGAAGTTGTCCTACTTGAAGTACCCTCAAACTTAATAAGAGAAAAAAATCATCGCAAGGGAATGTAATGCAAAAAGAAAAACTTTCTTTTTCCCAAACAAATGCATTAGAGAAACTTAATACCTCCATTGAGCACCCTCAACACAATCTCATCAAGGGCAGAGTTTGATGGGGCGCATACTAACACTCTTACACGATACTTGCGACTTGAAGTAACAGCTTCAGGTTTCTGATAAAACCCATCATTAGAGAAGATATTATTTTGCAAGATTAACAATTTTAACAAACAAAAAGACTACCTACTAGTTCATTTCCAGTAGTTGGGTAAAAACCATCGTCACCATCTTTTGGCATCAGACTATCCCTTGGATTAATACTACTTAGCCATGGAGAAGCTAGTCCCCAATGTCTTCGTCTGCCATAGGAAAAGGGAATAGAACACAACTTGATTACTAGATGAACAAGAGTAGCCGGTACACCGATATAACACAAGATCAACAAGGTGATTTTGCAAAATATATACTTTGAAACTAAATATTACACGGCACTTGTTCAACATCTAAACAAACTGAATTATTCTTGAATTCCACAAAGACAAGGTTAAAAAGGGGGCCAACATGCAAGGCATACTAAGGAGGCTAAAATCAACTTTATCAGTTTGGAAGTGTACTCTGCTAAGGACCTGCCTTCATAATCTCAACTAATTAAAATTAACTTATCTAACTAATGCTATAATCATCTAGAATTGTACTTTAATTAGAATAACTTATTGAAAACCTACTCATGATTATTCTAATCAATATACTTGCTTTGGACCTTGGAGAATCCTTAAGTACAGTTGATTTGATAGAATTCCTAATCATCCATCACCAGTTAAGACAGTAGGTTCTCTCTCTGTTATCATCCTTCAAAAACACAAATATCAAATAAGTAATCATCCAGATCTCTCACTTGTAAATGCCAAAGCCCAAAAAACTATGCCATTAGCTTCAAACAATCTTCCCAGCTTCTTATGATGTCAATGTAAAGTTAAACCAACTAAAGTGAAGAGAAACAGAGAAAATGTGCATTTAATTTGAATCACAGCTATTTTCTTTGTGTTTATGATATAATACAAAAATCAATTTTTACCCTTATTGTTGCACTCCTACTTGATTCAGAACAATATTTGAATATGAACTACTTGATGATAGGCATAACGAGAGAGCAAACATGTATAACACAAAGCAAGAAGAAACTTATAATGAATAGAACAGAGAAAGATTTCTAAAAATGACCCATATGGCGGAAATTAAAAGAAATATCATGTCAGAATCACAGGAAAAAACCAACATTCATGACATGAAGTTTTCTTGACTAAGTAAAGCCGAACTATTCTAAAGAGAATCTTACTTCTCCTCAATAGGTAATTGTGGTCCCTGCCTTAGTTCATAGGTCCTGCTTCCAAAAACAAATATCAATAAACATGTGCATGTATAAAGAGAAAAAAGATTAGGCAAAAATATGACCATAAATTGCTTGGCAAAAACAAAAGTTGCGTCAAAATCTCACTTCTACCAGGCACACTCTTCACATAATGGTTTACTCAAGACAACAATTGAAACCAAAAACTGATTTTTTGACATAGAAAACTGCAGAAATACAAAAATTATACTCACTTTGAATGCATTCTTGTAGGAGTTGCATGCAAAATGGTACTTAGAATCCCAAGTATGGTTTGAGTCTTCCCAGTCCCTGGGGGGCCCTGAAAGGAGTTGCTTAGGCTCAATTGCAACTTTTTTTATTAAACAAAAAAACTACCATACATTTATAAAAACCCAGATATGTCTCATAGGTATCTGGCAAGGGGATAATGCATGTCACATAGAAATTACAACAGCAAGTAAATTATCATAAAGGACCTAGTGACATGATATAAATGGACATTATAACCTGTTTTCCATTAGTAATAATTTACAAATTCTATCCTAATGGCATAGCTTTGTTTGAAAAGAAACACAATCTTGCAAAGGAATAATTATATCCAATCAGAGAAATCAAGAACTGAACTAATTCATGATTCAACCAGTCTAACTGGTTATTCTTTTTCTTATAGAAAGTTAAAAAAACATCTGCTCTGGCTTTTCCGAGGTCAAAAAGGAAATCAGAGAACTAAATCAAAGAAAAAACTGGCTGCAAAAAGCTTGAAGTTGAAAGTTCTTTCAAATAAATTACTCTCAGTACCCAACTCTAACAAACAAGTCTTTTCACAAAATAATTCAGCATAACTGATAAACATAAGATCAAACGTTAAGAAAAAAATAAAAATAAAACAGAACCAAAACCAGATAGGGACCAACCTGTATCAATACAAAGGCTTTTGATGATAGACCAGCCTGGAAAAGAAATAAAATGTTACTTTGGAATAAATAAATTCTACAAGAGCTTTACATCTTATTAGGGATAAAAACTTCTCATCAATCTTCACTTTCTTATAAAGATTTTGTGGTCAATTTTTAGCTTCTCTTTGTAGTTTGACTTGTAACTTATTATGATGGCATATGTTGCAGTGTCGATTTTTCTAATAATTGTGCATGCTTGGATGAGCTTAGCAAAAGGCAAAAAAATGCTTTCCCTTTCTAGCTAAACTTTTATGCTTCTCCTTACAAAAGCTAACATTTGATGTAACATATCCTGAATTTTATTTATAACACATCCTTCAACTAAATGTCAAATCCAAAATTGAAAATATGCCACCTTAAATAATTACCAGAATCTCACATTTATTCTTTCCAAAACATTTCAGTAACTAATGAAAAGAAAAAACACTGGATTGGTTGAAAAAAAGCAAAAATGATAATTAACAAACCCGAAGCTAATGAATAAGTTTTAGTTTTATTGCACTTCTAAAGTAAAAACTTACTGTAATGGCCTCACGTTGGTACTGATTAAATGTATTATCAACATATTCCCTTAACGGCGTTGGGATTTTCCATCCCTCAACTTCTGTGCTTAAATTTTCCCCAACTGCACTTATTATTAAATCCTTGTACGGGAGACAGCCTATAGTTCGTATAGCCACATATTCACGAGCAATAGTAGATAAGCTGCACAGCTGCATGATTTTCAAATTGGATCAAAGGCAAAGCTCATTTATAAGAAAATTTCTTCTCTTATGAAAAAAATTGTGGAAACATTACATTTCTTTTATAAATTAATAATAGAATTAATTAATTAAGGAAGGAACCTTCCACGTATAAACAACACACAATTGATATCACTAGTAGCACAAGATAGAACATGTTACCTTCATAAAATATAATTGTCTTTCTATCTCACATACATGAGATCGCATGTTAAACAGCCTGGGGCAAGATTGTACATTATCTGTATTAAATTTGGAGAACTCCCCAGCAAGATAGAGTCTAACTCGAACAAGTCTTGTTTCAAAAAACTTCCGGACATGTTCCACCAAAGCAAATGCATAAACAGTAGGTAATCTTTTGCCATCCAGAAACTGCAGTGACAAATACAGATAGACAATCAATTCAAATTCAAATAGGCAAACAATTCAAATCCCCAAAACACATAACTTCTTATCACTGGTAGTACATTATCTTTCGAAAGCAGCAAAAGATCATTCTGTGATATTGATTCTCCCTCAATGATTTCACACGGAAATTCTATGAAGTGAAAGTCATCTGCCTCACTCCAACTTTTTACCACGCCTAATTTCCAATCAGTCACTGTGGTCAGGTAAACAAAAAACATCTCTTCAGCAACTACAACGAGAGACCCTTCAAACGCCATTAACAATTAACGGTGCTATATTGCTACTGCTAGAATAACAACCATCCAAAAAAAAAAAATAGTTGAAATTAAAGATACCCTCTTCCTCCTCTTTCTCCTTAATGATCTGAGATTTGGCTTCTTCAAAGATGAGGGGTTCGTAGGTGGCAATATAGTCATCAATGTCTGTGTACCGGTTCTTCACCTTCACGAGTCCCGACTTCGCAGTCCCTTTTTTCTCGTTGTTTTTCTGCTTCTGAAAACATCAAATTCCGCAAGACTTATCGAACGCAATAACAACACAAATAAGTAAAAGAAAAAGAGTAAGGAATGAAGTGATTTGCCTTGGATTCCTTGAGAAGACCAAAGTAGTCCCAACTAAGAATAATCTGGTAGAAGCGGCGGATTACGGATTCTTCCTGAAGCTTTTCCTTGTCCACCGCCATAACAACAGATGGAGGGAAAAGTGAGAGGGCGCTGAAGGAGAGAAAAGGGAACAAGTAGAACGAGAGAAGAGAACATAGTTTAAGACTATAACACCCTCTCAAAACCAATACTAATCTATATCTATAGAATTTATAATTTTTCATAATCATTTTTATTCATTCAATTCTTATTTTTTTTTAAATATACACGTTACAAGGTACATGTTTTGATATCCGTATATATATATATTTGTTTTTTTTTCAATTATGTATTGAATAAATAATCTAAAGGTTAGTAAATATTGAATAAATTTGTTCAATATTTTCAGAAGATTGTGGTCTTTTTAATTCATTATTTTTATTTATTTTAATCAATTTATAATTTATAAACTATTATGATTTAAATTTAATTTGATTTTAATTAAAATATCCTTGTGTTTATCTCTGTGTCTCTCGATTTATATATATATTATATTGTTTATGAAATCAACATAAATTTTACTTAATTTTTTAGTTTTAATATATTTGAAACATCAATTTCAATCGTAACGTATAAATTGTGCAAGTAATTTTAATGTTCAAAATCGCGACCATCAGAACTATGTATTTTATAAACAAAATAAAATAAATCATTTACACTAGAAAAATAAATAAATAAAGGGATATCTCGTAACATCTGTCAATGACAAAGTATTCGTTTAAATGTCTTTACACAGCTTTCTTTTTAAATATATTTGTCTTTTACATAATTGTTTACCTGAGACAAATAAGATGAAAAATAAAAATAAAATAATAATAATAATAGAAGAGACATCTCTTATTATTTTTTACAATATTATTTTACATTGAAACTAATTATATAATTTATTTCTATTTGACTCATATGTATCTTCTTTACTCCAATATGATTCAGGAATATAAAACCTAAACTTTACAAAACTAATAGCAATGGCCTGAAGCTTTGAACCGGTTGTTAACAACATTCCAATAGTACTTGGAAACAACTTTTTCTATTTAATATTTTAGTGCTCCATTGAAACATAAATCCTTGCATTTTTTTTCTCATATTTTGTCCCATATACACATGATTTTTCTAAGACTTGCATGGTGTAGTGGAGTAGAGCAGCCCTAGGCTTCTATGAGATCAAATAGTGGTGAGGTGGAGCCGTTTATAATGGTGCTCATAGTTGCTGAAATAATGGGTTTGTGCGTGCTATAGCAGCCCTACCTTGATACAGGTATGAAAAAACCATTTTTACCACTACAACAATATTTAAGGGTTCTAGGGTAGAATTGTTATCCTCTATTTTCTAATAAAAGTTTTGCTTCAGAAACAAAATAGGCTTATATCATAGATGACCTAATAAGAAGAATTTCAAATTCAAATGCTACAATTGTGGCAAGAAAGGACACACAAAGAAAGAGTGTTAGAAGAGGATGAAGGGAGAACCAACCTCACAAAATTGCGTTGCAAATACCTCTGAAGAATGAGAAATTATGGTAAGCGAAGTAACGATCAGTTCAAATGGTGAAAGTAGATTTCATGATAAATGGATAATGGATTCAGGTGCAACTTGGCACATGACTCCTCCACACCGAGACTAGTTTCAAAAAGTACAAGTCAATCTCAGATGGATTCGTGTTCATGGGAAATGACCATGCTTTGGAGATTGCTGGAGTTGGTACAGTCAAATTAAAAATTTATGACGGTACTATTCGTACAATTCAAGGGGTACGACATGTGAAGGACTTGAAGAAAAATATATTGTCTATAGGACAATTGGATGACCTTGGATGCAAGATCCATGTTGAAGATGGGATCTTGAAGGCTGTGAGGGGAAATTTGGTAACCATGAAAGCAGAGAAGATCATGGCAAATATGTATGTGTTTATAAGAGATACCTTGTAAGAAGCTAATGTAACAACTGCATCGATAAATCAAGAAGAAACGATGACAATGTGGCATCGTAGACTTGAGCATATGTCAGAGCGAGGTCTATAAATTCTTGCAGAACGTGATCTCTTACCCGACCTCAAGAAGGTTGATTTACCTTTCTGCGAGCACTGTGTGACAAGTAAGCAACACAGGTTGAAGTTTGCTAGAACGATTACATGAAGTAAGCAGAGATTGGACTTGATCCATTCTGATGTGTGGGAATCACCGGAATTATCCCTCGGAGGAGAAAAATACTTTGTATCATTTATCGATGATTACTCCAGGAGTTTATGGGTGTACCCTATCAAGAAGAAGTCTGAGGTGTTTGCCCGGTTCAAAGAATTTAAAGCACAAGTAGAGCTTATGGAAAAAAATCAAGTGCTTAAGGACAGACAATGGAAGAGAATATGTAGATAGAGATTTTCTAGCATTCTGTAAGCAAGAAGGTATTATCAGGAAATTTTTCGTTTCACATACGCCTCAGCAAAATGATGTAACAGAGCAGATGAATAGAACTCTTCTAGAAAGAACCAGAGCTATGTTACAGAATATAGGATTAGCGAAGTCTTTCTGGGCAGAAGCAATTAAGACTGTCTGTTACCTGATAAATCGGTCACCATCAACAGTGATTGTGCTAAAAACTCCAATAGAGATGTGGAGTGGCAAATCAGTTGATTACTCTTTCTTACATGTGTTTGGTTGTCCTGTGTATGTGATGTTCAACACCCAAGAAAGAATGAAGTTGAATCCAAAATCCAGGAAATGCACCTTCTTGGGCTATGTTGATAATGTGAAGGGGTATCGCTTGTGGGATCCCACTGCCCACAAAGTTATTATTAGCAAGGATGTAGTATTTGCAGAAAATGAACTGCAAAGTGAGTAGACAAATGACAGCCTGAAAAAGGACAAAGTTGTAGTACAAATAAAAAAGAATCCTTTTGAAGATTCTTCTGAGTTAGAGGAGGAGCACGAAAAACATGAACCAAATAAGGTTGGCAATGGAGAACTCTGACGATCAACAAGAAAAAAAAGCAAAACCATCTTGGCATTCACAATATGTGATGGCAAGTCATGATGCGTATTGTCTCCTAAGTGAATAAGGAGAACCTTCAACTTTTTAAGAGGTCGTGAGTGCTTCAAAAGCTTCCTTATGGATGACTGCTATGCAAGAAGAAATTGAGGCTTTTCATAGACACAAGACATGGAATCTTGTGGAACTTCCAAAGGATCGAAAAACTATTGGTTGCAAATGGGTCTACAAGATCAAGAGAGATGACAATGATCAAGTGGAAAGATATCATGCTAGATTGGTAGTAAAAGGATATGCTCAGAAATAAGGCATTGATTTCAATGAGATATTCTTACCAGTTGTTAGATTGTCAACAATCATAATTGTCCTTGCAATGTGTGCTACATTTGATTTACATCTTGAGCAATTTGGTGTAAAGATCGTTTTTCTTCATGGAGAACTTAAAGAAAAAATATATATGCTCCAACCAGAAGGCTTTGAAGAACAAGAAAAATTGGTTTGCAGGTTGAACAAATCTCTATACGGTATAAAGCAGGTACCAAGGTGTTGGTATAAGAGATTTGATTCCTTTATCATTAGCCTCGGATACAACAGATTGAGTTTGGACCATTGTACTTATTACAATAAGTTTGAAGAGAACGATTTCATCATATTGTTGTTGTATGTGGATGACATATTGGTGGTAGGCCCCAACAAAGCACGAATAGAAGAATTGAAGGCATAGTTGACTAGGGAGTTTGATATGAAGGACTTGGGACCAACAAACAAGATTTTAGGGGTGCAGATTTACTGAGACAAAAAGAATAGGAAGATTTGGCTTTCTCAAAAGAATTAGTTACTCAAGATCGTGCGGTGCTTCAACATGCAAGATTGCAAACTAATTTCTACCTCACTTCCTATCAACTATAAGTTATTTTCAAGTGTGAGTCCTAACAATGAAGTGAAGAGGATTGAGATGCTCAAGTACCATATGCATTAGCGGTGGGAAATCTTATGTATGTCATGATTTGTACAAGACTAGACATTGCGCAAGCATTGGGAGTGGTTAGTAGACGCATGGGGAATCCTGGTGGAGAGCATTGGAATAATGTCAAGAGGATCCTTAGGCATATAAAAGGAACCTCAAGTGTTGCATTATGTTATGGAGGATCAGAAGCAATTGTCATAGGCTATGTTGATTCAGATTTTGCAGGTGATCTAGATAAAAAGAAATCTACTACTGGCTATGTGTTTATCATTGCTGAAGGGGCAGTAAGTTGGTTATCCAAGTTACAAGATGTTTTAGCTCTATCTACTACAGAAGTTGAATACATGGTAGTCACCCAAGCATGTAAGGAGGCTATTTGGATTAAAAGGATAATGCAAGAAATCCATGAAAGCAATGAGGGGGAGATTAATGGAAATGTTCCTGCATTCCCAAGAGATAATTTTGATGATGATTCAAGTCAACACCATTCAAGATGAATTTAAGGATAAGCTGAATTTATGACATAGGTGATTCAAGCAAGCCCAAGATGATTCCTGAAGACTAGATAGAGTCTTAGAATATTGGATAGAGGTACAAGTTGATGAAGTAATATTATGCATAAGCCTCCAAAACACAAGTGTGATAAAATTCATAACATGGTATTTTTCACTGTCATAATTAATTATGATGGATCAGAAATGGAAAAATTATTTTCTCTATCATAATTAATTATACTCGGTAATATAATCAATTATGACTATTTAAATTTGAAAAATATATCCATTTTAAAGAATAAATATTTTTTAATACATCATGATTTTCTCTATGATATTATTAATGTCCAACGGCCATTTTCCGATGTTATTTTTCTATTTAATTAAGTTTTGATGAAAAATAAAAAACACACAATTACGGAATTCGAAAATATAATTTACATTCAATCAGTTTTGAGAAAAGAATTATGAGTAAGGCAACGAGAGATATTTTACACCTTTTGAGAAAATCCTCTTCTCTATTGCCTTCTGTGCTTTCATTATTAATCACACTTGTTCTTGGAGATTGACATTCTACAGGCTTCTATAATTTGT